TGGGAAACATGGGGTACCCTCCTCCCCTAGTAATAATAATAAATAAAATAAATAATATTCGAGACTTTTTGACATGTGTGTGTCACTCCTTATACAGCTGTGTACATACCTGAATTATGCTTATTAAAAGAGATACAGTTTATAATTTCAACATTGCCACGTCAGTCCCTTGTTTTTAGTTGAAACTGTTGAAAGGTGGTTTACGGAAATGTAGGGATGAAGCCGATCGGACTAGGATGGAAGAGTTTATTTCCGGCCAAGGTTCTGTTTTGCTTTCGTTCTAAGATGTTTACGGGGCTTTTAGTTATTTTATGGCGTTGTCTGCTTGTGGATTTAGCTCTGTAAGATACTATAATGACATGACAAAATTCAACCATACAAAAATATATATAAATATTTAGTTTGAGACTAACGTTTCAGCTGTTTGCCTTCAACATTTGACAAAATGATATTTTTTTATATTTTGTTTCTATAAATATTCTTGTGCATAGATTTTTCATAACTTTCCATTTATTTACGTATATATGTTTAAAAAATTGTTTTCATATTTTAATATTTAAGTCTAAAACAAATCTTTATGTTTACCGATTCTTACAATTATTGCAATAAACATAATATTAGTAGATGTAATAAATAAGGTTTAATGAAAAACATAAGATTCTACGCCGATTTTCTTTGACAAAGTTGTAAGTCCACCGCACCAAGTATAAACCCTTTAATGCTTTTAGTAATAGCCTACTAAATTATTATAGGGTAGAATGTTTTTATGTCCCAAATATTTTATGCTATGTTTTACTTTTACTATGTTTCAAACTATAAGTCTTTGTTTGCTCCTAAATAGAAGCGACTACGTCATGCTTATTTATGGACTATATTATTTTTATATGTAATTTACAAATACACATAAGGATGAAAACCTTCAAAGTTGAGACCGAGTTGCCTAAAACCAAAGGTGGACCGTTTCAGAAGTTGAGGACGAAATGTTTAATTGATGTGAGGCTTTGAGGTAGATTGTAAATTGAGATGCCTCATAAACCACAACAAACAGAGAACTTGTTGGGATGAATAAGAAAACACTTTAGGAAATTGAGGTAATCGCTTGTTAACTTATGGCCGGCGTGGCACGCCAGCAGATTATCAATTCATAGCCATTCTATCGATAATAGGGTTTTCGCTGTCTGTGTCTCATCTGACATTTTGTTTACCCCGCTAGCATCTCATATCTGGATAGCCACTTCTACTTAATTATTCAGATATCTTCAAGATACCTAATCTACTGTTTCATACAGGGGAGATCAAAAGATATCTACTTAAGAATTCGTATTAATTTATGGTGCCGTACTCCCACCAATCGGTGAGTTAAATGATGCTCCACCTGTCCACACAGAGTGTGAAATATTATTCTAACTAAGATGGAAGTGGTGAATTTTAATCTTCTTCAATATTGCATTCAAAAATAACATGCCGAGATACCGTCAACAAGCTTTGCTTGCATGCCTCACTTAACCCTTTTTAAAAATCTTAACTTAATAGATCAGTCTTAACACATTCATTTTGAACATTTATTGAACCTATACCTAATCGAATGTTTAAAGTTCTACAACTCAGTATTTCGAGGTGATACTTATAATATTCGTATAGTTCTATTTTTAACGTAATTTCTGATAAAAGTTTCGAGAAACAATACGTAATTGATTTCTTACACTTAGGTTTCTAGAAAATTCAATGAAAGCCTTTCAATGTGTATTTTCTCTTGAATTAGTAAATTTAAGGTACCACATTGTCAAAGCATAAAAGTTGTTTAATGTATATTATTAAATTGAGAACTTTCCAATAATTTCCAATATAATCGAAGGATTGGAGTTGAAGTAACAACGATGGTATGAAGAACGATTAACTAGTAATCTATGTTAAAACAACAGACAAACGCTTAATTTATCGGCGGAGAAACTTTTGGGAAGATCATATTAATATTTATCTTGTAGGTTTTAAATTCAAACCAGATTTTATGGAAGAAAAGTGAGGAAAGAGGCCTGTAAGACAAATCTTCAAAGGTTAGGAGGCGGGATAGCCGAGCGGACTAACGCGTGTGCATAGCACCACGCGTGGCCTGGCAACCCGGATATATGATTTATGTGATAAAATAATACCGAGTTCGCGTCCCGGTTCCAAGGAGGCTTTTAACTCTGGCTTTAATTCCCTCCCCCTCTCTCCCCCTGCTCTTATTCCCTGGTCCAGGAAAACACCTGTATAGCCTAAAAGGCGAAGAGGGGAAGAGAAGGGAAAAAACAAAACAAAAAAAAACCTTGAAAGGTTAGGAGAAGGGAGGGGGGGACTTGTCCCAGAATAAATAAAGCATTATTATTATTATATACCATGTTATGGAGTCGACTTAATTCTAATGAAAAACTTGTATCTGGTTCAGCTGTACCATCACCATAGATATAAATTTTTCTGTTGATAAGGAGTGTACCGAGTTTCTTCTTGTCCTCACAAATTGCAGCACATTTGCAATGTTTTGAATGACTTATGGATGAGGAACAGTCATGATTGTTCTCTGAAGAATTCTCCAAACCAAGTTTCGACATTCCTTAATAAATAAGTTTATTATGATAGGTCATAATTTGAAAAAATATCTGTTGGAGAAAGTATTTAGTTTAAGCATGTACTTAAATTTTACAATATATTTTGGTGATCTTGAGTCATATTTTACCTTCGGGATTCAAAAAACAATAACTATCTCGGAAATTATTAGCTAAAAAAGAATAGAAATAAAGGGGGTTTTAATCATACATGGGCCAACTGGTAGGGCATTGTGTGGGTGCTGGGCTTTGTGTGGGGGCGGCCTGCCGGGAGCCGATACAGTCCCACAATGTGGCCACTCATACTCAGTCCAAAGTCCTCAGTCCACAGTCGTCAGTCCTCTTCGGCAGTTGGTGGGTTCCACAATGTGGGGCATCGTCAGGCATCGGCTCCTCGCCAATGTAAGTCTTCTGGGTCTTAAGTGTTCAATGCTCAATCAGTAGTGCTCTATTCTACCTATTCTTCCTCAGGAAAGTTGCCATGTAATCGTGTACAAATGGAACTTCTTTATATATTGCATGTATTGTAATATGTCATAATCTATGACATCATCTAACTGAAATTAAAGGATGTTTTATTCCTAGGTGCTTTGTTCAGTTGAACCTTTATTTTAAAATAGCCTTCAGAGATTGGAATTTCTTAATATTGTATAATTTATCAACGCAGGCATTCTTATCTGACATAAACGAATCACACCAATTCTTAAATCGACCTATATTACTAAGTTACCCTCGAAAAAAATGACAATTCCTAGTTCTGATATAGTTGCTAAAATAATCTGGCATGTACACATTTCACCGATTCTCTACAATTTCCACAACCATGGCAAATTTTCTGCTTTTTACGCCATTTTCAAGCCACCTAAAAAAGTAATTTGTTTTATATCCACCTACTGCATAATTGGATCATTTCTTATGTATAACTCCTAAATAAAAAATAATCAAAGTATGTTAATATTAATAAATTTAAATTCGTCTGTTATTAATTAGCAACCGCTACAGGCAGGAGTTGCGCGCGGGTATTGATTTTTAGAAAATTACCTTAGCTGTATTTGGGTTTTATATCTTGACTGTTTTGATATTTTCTGATGTAATAATAATAACGAGAATGAATTTAAGTTCTGTTGGTTTATAATCAATTTTTCATTTTTTTTTTTAATTTCTTTACGAGTGGAGATAATTCTTTGTTTAAGTTTCCATTTTAGCAGCAATTATTTATTTAATTACTTCATATAATAGTATTTATGTTTACAAAAACATCTAGGATAGCTAAAATTAGGTCTGCTAAAAACTTTATTATTGGTACTCCAGAAACCTAGATTTCAGTCAGCCAAATAGTTAAATAACTGACCAACTTCCCTTGAATTCAAGTATATTCAAGGTAGAAAATATAAAAAAATCAGATAAATCTAACAATCTAAAGTATGATTTATACCAAATATTCTATGGTTCCTAGATGGTCCCCTATAAATTTTATCAAATTCCATCTAGCACTTCCACTTACACACGCGCAAACATATTTTTTATGTATATATGAATATTTCAGAAATAGCTTGTTAGATTTGGCTCAAACTTGAATAAAAAGTAGGTATTTGTGAAAAAATAATACAGTGTCAGTTTTATTGAATTCTGTCCACTACTTTATCTTATATTTGCGCAAACGGATTTTCCTTGATTCGTCTATATCTCTAAAATTGCCCTTTCTATTTGGCTCAAATTTTGAGGGAAGTTAGGGATTTTACCGAATTCCGCCCACTAATAAAAAAAAAAAAAAAAAAACGAAATATATTTGACACGCCTATAGTTTGAAAACTGCGCGTTTGATTTGACCCAACCTTGGAGGATAGCATAGAAATTATCTGGTATCAATTTAATAATTAAAATTAATATAAATAATTGTTAGTAATATAATTACTCATATTGCCATTACTTAGATTTCGTGCTAATACGGTTAACGTAATTAAATTCTTCGGTTGATTCATTCTTCTTCGGTTCGAATATTCTACGCACTACTTTATTTTTAAAAAAACCTTAAGGCGTTACACATATCGTAAAGTAATTGGCCACGTTTCGCATCCATAAAAAACCATAGGAATAGTTTTGTAAATTCTAGTTTTTAAGTTTCGAAACAGGAGGCGCGAGTTCAGTTGTTTTGCTAAAGAAAAGTAACAAGTATTTCCCGCCTTCAACCTATCCTTATTTCCCACTTCAGTTTCGTTTTTTCTTGTTATCGTTGAACCTAAATATCTTTGCAGTTCAGTATACTATACTATTAATAACATCTGTTTTCAAGATAGGCACCTGTAGACAGTCGTTCGTGTCGGTATTACACACAGATAGACCAAGTTGAGCGTAATGGAGGATGGTTGGGAGACAACCTACTCTGGCTTTTCCTTCTGAAATTTATACAATAAGGTATCAAGAGTCAGTTATGACAGTTGCTCGTGCTACCTGCGAGATAGGATTCCCTAGGTCCGACTGTGGAAGAGATAAGACGTGGAGGGACGTGCAGTGATAGATGTCGGATAGGATCAATAGGAAGAGGCGAGGATGGGAGATATTGGGAGAGCGGATGGGGTCATTAAGGATTCCAGAAGAGCCTCTCCCTGCCCGCAAGTAATATCCCTCTTCCTGCGTCACCTTTTGGGCGGGGTTCGCTCCTCCATCTTTGCTTCTTTGCAGATCTTGCAGCTTGGCTCTTCTGTCGAAATTCGAAGATCAATGTTCGTCGAGTCGATAGCTAAGACCCTCAGGCCCCAATGATCAATTCATCAACGTTATTCCATAGGGTGAACTTTGAACTTTTTCATCAGCTAGGTTTCAAAGTTTCAGTAATCGAGTTTCTTCTTTGAAATTTTATCTCACTTAACCTTTTTCAATGAAACTTCTTCACGCAAAGATTTTCTGATTCCTGTTTAGTTGGATTCATAAGGAAGTTTTGTTATCCTGGTAACATGAATTATTTTAAGTGATAATACTTTATCGATTTATATTTCTGTCACATTATCAAATAACATATATTTTGTTCACAAATACATTTTTAAACCTAAATTTTCAAAGGCTTTTAGAAACAAAATCAATTCCACATTCCCACTGTCAGAAAGAATTTGTTCAGCAGCTCAGTCCCTTAAGAACTTATCTTTATACTCAATATAGAAAACCAAAACCCTCCTTGGATCCACAAACCCCCCAAAATGCTGCTTCGTCTCTCTCGATTACTCAAAAGCAATAGCTCACATTAGAGTACAAAACCGAATTTTCCCGTCTACTACAAAATATTCCGGTAACAGCTACAGCTTGTTCGTTTGTTACCCGTAACTCCACACATAAAATAAACCTACATAAACTAAGCAGCGGAACGCAACAGCCTCAGCTCTCCACTTCTGTATGTCAATAACTCCAGTTACAATAGTCTTGATAACCGACTCCTTGAGTTCATTAAAGGTTTTAAATGATATGTATTCAAAACATCTAGTTATCCTTAAAATATACAAATATCTTCACACTCTGGAAAATTTAGAAAAGTCGGTTTGTTTTATATGGGTTCCCAGTCAGCTGTGTGTAGTTGGTAATGAGCTTGCGGATACTGCAGACAAACAGGCACTCGCGCTTCCTGATCCTGACCCCTCCAGAAATGAGTTTTCCTCTCAAAAAAGAAATATTGGATAATTGGCAATCTATGTGGAACGAAAGCCCACCTAGCAAATTAAAAAATCAATGAAACCCTGGTTCACATCAAACCCCTCTAATCGTAGAGAGGAAGTCGCCGTGACCAGGTTAAGAATAGGACACACGAACTTAACCCATGTTCATCTCATCACTAAGCAGCCACCACCAAATTGTTAGCATTGCAATAGCCTTCTAACAGTCAACCATATTTTCGAAGAATGCACTTATTGTACTTCAAGCCTAAATTGATTGTCTCTAAAACCGGATATATCAGCGGTATTAAGCAACAACGAATCAAACATAAAAACAATGATACAATTTCTTAAAATACATATACTGTTAAATAAAATATAAAATAAATATAATTTTTATTTTATTGTTTGTTCTTTTTTTTTAATATTTATTTTAATATATTTCATCTTTTATATGTTTTTAAATATCTTTTTCATTTATTACTCTATCTATTGTTAATTATTAATTCTCCTCTAAAGGGTTTACAAATATAATCGACTCACAGGCGTTGATAACCCTAGGATTTTACACCTTAAAGCCTGAATAAACAAACATATTTTTTGTAAAATATATGTATATTCAGTGTTTAGAACTAGGTTCTTGAAAAGTAATTTCTTTTGGTCTGTTATGTTAAATGATCGAATATTGTATCCGACCAAACCGAAGGAAAACACATGTTATTTCTTCCACACATAGTACATAAGATCTACTAATTTGCATATTATTTTGCTGTATCTTCAGTAATATCACTATGGGCCATCTAGTATCCATATATTTTCAGTTGAATAGACACGTAAGGAAGTCATCAGTTGGACTAAGTGCCCTGTTGGTTAGGAAATTGAGCGGACTGTTCGGAAAAGGGAGGTGACAAAGCCGGTCCGGGGTTCGTGACAAGGGGCCATGAGGAGCATCGATAGCGCCGAAACAACAGTTTGCTCCTCCACTTCTCAATTTAGCTTCCACCGTTTGCTCATTGTCTCTTACTAAACTCTGAAAGCAATATTTGTCACCCCTTTTTTATTCGTTTGACGTTCACGATTGTAGTAGGGTGTCAACTAATTAAACTCCAATGTCCCCTCATGAGCTATAAGTCTATTTTCTAAATAATTTTTTTGTATTTTTTTCGAATCAGTTAAAGAAACAAAAATATCACCTTTTCATGACATTAGCATGCCCTAAATCCACTAATGATCCCAAATATTACACCACTTAAGACTTTATTTGCATTAAGTTTCTATTATCAGACCATCTTCTAATAATTCTACAATGAATTAATTATCTCATTAAATACATTAAATAATTTGCAATAAAATTTTTAATACATTCTCATAAAGTAGTGATTAGTCAGTAACATAATATTAATATTAAATTACGTTGAATTACCTATCATTATTAGTGAAAATAATATTATCTTGTGATATAAACCAAGACTTATATCAAAACAACATAATCAATAAATGTATGTATATCAAATTTTTCATTTATAAAATCAGGATTTAAATTATTATTTGTTTATATTTGTAATTTGTTAAGTATTTTTATCATATGTTATTGTATTTAAATTTATATTGAATCGTACATCCTGTTTTGAAATCGCTTTTGATGAAAAGAAGGCGACGAACAAATATTCAAAACACCCTAAACCGGTATAAAATTTTTCTCATAACCTTTTTATTTTTGTTCTCTCTCAATGAGATATTTTTGTTCAATGAGCTAGTTTACTTTTATTTTGTAGAAAAAATTCCAAAACCAGGAGGAAAAAGGAAACCGTGTATTGTTCCGTCAATCTAATTAAGAACGAATCTTATATCATATTAAAATGAACACCAAATAATAATAATAATAAATAAATATGAAATAATAAAATAAAAACGAAATAGCCAAACTGTATAACATAAAAATAACAAGCGAGGTTTATATGAATAGAGTCTAATTTCGGAAACATGTTGAACAAATGAGGTTCCTAACAGTAGAAAGGAGTGGAAGGCACAGACAGCACTCAGCGAGGATGAAGGAAGTGTGCAGGAAAAGAAAATAAACGACAAAAAAGAAAAAGACAAAGTGATATTTTCGTGGTTTTGAATTAACTAGTATCGAGAATAAAAAAATAAATAAATAAGCATAGCTTCGTACATAATGTTACATAACAATAACGCTTACGTATCAAGAACCATTTTTGTCCTATTTTATCAACGTTAAACCTAAGTTGCATATACTTTTTCGAACTCGAATTAATACGTTTAGTCAACATACTAAATTAAAATAATGATTAATAATTGCACTATTAGTGTACAAACGCAATCAAAAATAGTTTAAAAAAGCGAACAAAAATAACCTTAGTGAAGCCGAAACTTCGAACAAAGCTAAATAAGATAGCGATATGACTTGCGGCCTTCACCCGATCAAAAGCCCCCCAATTTCCGCTCCCTAACAGACTTGTCACAACATCTTTACATTTATTGAACCCATTTTAAGCAACGTTTATAACAAAATTGTTCATATAATTTATTAATACCACTATTGAAAATTTTAAAACTGCAGCGGTCCAAACAATATATTTTTTTATTTCAATGACGGATAATTTTGGGATATGGTTTAGATTAATATTTCCTTTCATTCATAGTTTTATTCTTTTTTTTTTATTCATACCTGTCGGAAATAGTCTTGTCATTGGTTGGCGTATGAGATAGAAATGCCCAGCGGTATCCTTTCCTATCTTAACTTTAATATTCATGGTTGTTGGAGATCTCTTGAGGAGACCTTCTTTTGAGCCTCCTACGGATGTTGTGGGACATGTTGGTTGTGCCCACGACTTCAATCAGTGGGTTAGTGTGTCCGTTTAAGTTATTGTGAGATTTTTTGTAGTGTGACGACGGTTTGCGTTTTTATTGTTATTACCTAATCTTCACTGACGAATAACAATTAAAATTTTATAAAAGTAGCCGATTAGAATGCAACATCCGCACTGCCTGTCATCTGGTGTTGTCATGGACAGTTTTTTATTAATTTATGTAATAAAATTGTAGGTTCTATTTTGTAAATTATTATAGTTCCGTTATTATTTCCTTATACACAGGTTAATTATTTATTTTATTTCTGCGCAGGCTGGCGGGGTTGAGATGACCTGGGTCATCAGCGACTACGCGGCCGCTGGTACAGGACAGCTCTCCGTCAACAAAGGACAACAGGTATTTTTTTAATTTCTAATATTTTATTTTAGCATTATCATCTGCCGATCCCGACAGTGGATGCTTGTTCTAAAAAAATCCAGCGAAAAGCTTTTCGTTCTGCATTATTCACTTTTAAAGAGCGGTATTTTTTTTGGCGTTAGAACGGACCTGTATGTGATATGCTAATAAATTCTGTCACGCGAAGTCATGTCGAGATTCTTAGAAGTCCCCGGTGGTAATTGCTTGAATGTGTGACCTTATCGGTCTGAATAATTAAATAGTCTGTTCTGTCCAATCAATAAAGAAGTACCAAGCTTCAAGTTTCGTTATTTATTATTCACAAAGTTATTTAATATTTATAGTTCTGTTATATTTCCGAAATAGTAATGGAAAAGAAAAGAAAAAAAAATCTGGTGTGTCCACCCACATGACTTTCCTACCTATTTAAGAAAAGTTTTTATATCTTTACATAAGTTAATGAAGAAAAAAAAAAAAAATTGAACTAGATTTATTTTCCTGAAAATTGATCAAAGAAATGATTTGAGTACGATCAATTTGATAAATTAAAGCAATGTAAACCGGCTTAAGGTTGATCAGTGTGAAAATTTCAATACGCTCTAATGTTGCTGATCAAAATTTTTTTGCCATAGCTTAGTATTGTCAAACAATAATTTCTGTTAAAAGTAGATTAAATAGCTTGTGTGATGCGGGCAACAGATTTCCTTACTTTCACTTTTTTTCATCTTTTTTTCTCTCATTCAGCCCTTTCTAACACCAGGATATAAACCCGTAATCTTGAATTGAATAGCTGTAACTTCGTTATTAGTAGTCCAAAATGAACGATTTTTATATAGTTTTGTAGAGAATTTCATTACCTTTCAGGAAACATGCTAAACGGCGTAATTAAGGAAATTTTTATCAAAATCGTTAGAGCCGTTTTTGCGCTATAGTCTACAGAAAAAGGCGTTTTTCATTTATTGCCCGCACGCTATTGCGCTTGGAGCAACACAATCGGTTCAGTAGTTCCCGAGAAAATCTTGGCACAGACAGACAGACAGACTAATGGCTAAAAATATGTTTTTCGAATTCAGGGGGCTCTGAAACGTATAGATCCGTCGAAAACCGCATATCGGAAATTTGAACCGATTGCAATACTTTCCTTACCTAGTATAGGTAGGAAAGTAATAAGTTCAGAAAGCTAACGTAATTTTTTCCCAGTTAGAAGTAAAAATTATTTTATAAGAATTGGTTACATTTGTGATAAAGAATTTATTATGCTTCAAAGATATTACTTTTTAAATAATTTCCATTTAATAAATCCACTTCCTAACATTCTGTATATTTCTGGTAGAATATATGGATTATGTGTGTATTCTGTGTTGGCAATAATTACGTTTGTCTGCAGTAGGCAGATTCTATTTGTTTTTATTTCATATAATATATTTCAATTCACAGATCGGCATTCTTGATGTATAGAAATATTGATAGAAAAAGATCATAAACAAGTGCAAACAAACCCACCTTGACGGTACTTTTCGTAAGATATTTTGAACCTAATAAGTTGTCTGGATGTGTTGCTGATACCATTGTTGTTGTTGTTGTTGTTTGGATGTATTGCTGATACCATTGTTGTTGTTGTTGCAGGTGGAGGTGGTGGAGACGGCGGGGTCGGAGTGGGCGGTGGTGCGGCTGGCGAGCTCCGGGGCAGATCCGGCCCCCGAGGGCCTGGTCCCGCTCAGCTGCCTCAAGCAGCCGCCCCACGGCCTCAAGCCCTCCCCCGTGTCGCCCTCCAGGAGGCTCCATCCCGACCACGAAATAGGTAAGTCCACTACCTTATTATATAATTAATAACTTAACTTTTGTCTTGAAGGACTTAGGATACGTTTGTGGGAATAGTCCAGGATGAACGGAATATATATACATCATAAAGGAAGGAGATGGCCCATGGTGGCGGTCATAAATACGCTAAATAGTGGCAAAACTATTTTACTAAAAGCCAACGTTTCGACCCGACTTCGCAGGTCTTCCTTCTTCAGGGCTAGAACGGACAAGATACAAAAAGATAGAGAATTGTGGAAGTTACATAATATTTAGACAAAAAATTATAAACAATTTGAATAAGCTTATTAAAATTATAAACAGTAAGTAAACAGTAAGCCTATTAAAATATGAACAGAGTAAGCTAATTAACAAGATCCTAAACTGAAGTAAATATATGCTAACAATTGTTGTAGTGTATTATATAATAAATGCAAATGTGAATATACTCCTACAGATCTACAGGAGAGATTGAAAACTGATATAATATGTAATAACAGACATACAGGAATGTGGAGAAAGAAAAGAGAAAGAAAACAAAAAAAAAAAGTAAATAAAATTAAAGACTTACAGGTGTGTTCAGCTCGGAGTTTCACTTAGAACTGGAAAACCAGGGTAAGGGCAGGTATTGGGGAAGCTGACTTGTTTGGGTAAGGGGAAAAACCTAGAAAATTACAGTATCTAAAATTTGAAGATATGGATGGATACAAGGGAAAAATACTATATCTATGAAATATTAAGTTATAAATAGATACATTTAGCCTATTTATGACCGCCACCCCTGACCACCTCCTTCCTTTATAATGCAACGGTCAACTATTAAATATTCAGTATATTCATCATATCTGTTTGTTTTGCTTTTTTTTCTTCCCAATTTTAAATTATCATCAGGGCTATAATACTCTAAAGAAAGGTCGTGAAAATAAGATGTTCCATATTATTATTGGAATGTAATAAAAATTATTTTATTTTTTATAAGAAATTTGTTGAATGTAAAGTTCTCCAGAACCAAACCCCTGCCGTATCAGATCCTTCTACATCTGCCGGTTTCCTCCGACAGTCCCCCATAAGCTATACTCACCACCACTCTATTTTTCATCTAATATGGGGTCTTCTTCTACTTCTATCCACAATCTTCCAAGGATATAATCTCATCTTTAAGTTCTCAGAGGG